TATATATATATATATTATTATGTATATGTATATATGTATAATTGTATATATGTTATGTATATGTGTATATGTATTATGTATATGTATATATGTATATATGTATATGTATATGTATATATGTGTATATGTATATATGTACATATGTATATATGTATATGTACATATGTATATATTTATATATGTATATATATCTATCTATCTATCTATCTATCTATCTATATACATATATAATATATAATATATATAATATATATATATATACATATATATATATTATTATATATATATATATATATATATATATATATATATATATATATATGGACATATCTTTTTTTCAAAGTGAGCTGTACAATGTTCATGTTATATTTTTATGTGGAACTACTGAGACAAAACATACTTGTTTACTTTAAGTGCAAATGTATGAAAGCTGCTTTCAACCAGATCTAAAATAATTGTTCTTTAAAATATAACTTTTCTAGAAACACTTTCATGCCTACGTTGCTTAAGAGAGAAAGAGACATTTATAACATTTTCCCAGATGATTTGCACCAGCAACTTTTGCAATAAAAGAAAATACATATTTACTTATTCAATATCTAGTTAAATTGTTGTACAAATTTAAGCTAAAAATATACCAATATGACAAGTATCTCAGTCATAATTTGTCACGCCCATTTATAATCCCGAGGTATACAAAAGGTCATTCAATAAAAGTTACTCTTTTATCTTTTCTCCATGAAAGCAACAAGATCTTTAATGATTCCAATTGCAAATAATGTTGGTTGAGTAACATGTGACTAAAATGATGTGAATTAATTTATTTTAAACAAATTCTAATTATATATATATATTTTTTTTTTTTGCAAAATTTCCAAGCATTGTATATCTTTTCCTGCCATACTATATGAGAGGTAAAAGTATCTGATTTTAACAACAAATCATGGTTAGTGATTCGCTGTTGAATCAGACAAATTCAGCAGTGTTACAGACAAGTTGTGTACCATGTAAGTGTAAAATAAGGACATCCACAACCTACACTTAACTGTCCTTCTATATCTATTCACATTTTACTATTTTTGAGACTACTAACAATATACAAAACTTTCAGTTTACATTCATGATCTTTTTAACCCTAAATCAAGAGTTACAATCCCCTTTTGTCAATATCTAAAGATTTGCTATTACAAAAATCCTATTCTTTTTTCATTAAGCTAATTTCCAAATGTAAATGTGAGTGATATTCCAAAATTCTCATAGAGAATCACGTTAAAAGCAAAACTAGTGATTGAGACAAAATTCATCCTTGTTTTCAATCATTATTTCATCCTCAACATTGCAGTAATCATGTGTGCATCTTTAATCTCTGTTAATGTATTGTACAATGGGTTTCCATTTCAGTAATATAACATTATATTCAAATATTCTATACAGTAAATGCCACATGTAATGTAGCTTAAACCTCTGCCTGTTCATTTTAATGACTATTGCACTATATTGCCATTGAAATATGGAAATAAAGATTTCAATGGCCCATCACATAAGACTAATAAATAAAATAATATGGCATTAATACAAGGCCTTTTTATTTTCTTTGGAGGAGGTGGGGGCAACAGAAAAAAATATATATCTAGTCATCCTTGCATAAATTAATAAAATTTTGGATAACCCTCATTGGTTGTTGGTAATACAAGGAGCAGTGGCTTAAAAGATACAAATAATAACTATGATAATTATATGGAAAAGTTCTTGAGTTCATGATATGCGCCTACAGAAACCAGTTATAAGTTAAAGTGATGGTGACAATGAAAACGGATATGCTGTACCAAAGGACACTTAAAAATAGTTATCAGACAATTATTTTGTAAGAAAACGGGTCACAGTCATAAATATTACTCCATCTGGAGAATATGATGTACATTCTCTTCCTAATAATTATTATCATTTCTTCATCTTAATAATGTCATCCATGTCATTTGGCACATTGTAATACCTGAATTATAACTTTAACAGTAACCCCATTAAAGTTGATTATTGTCAAATGTTACAGATGGCAAAAAGACAGCAGGCCTATACTGATAGCCAAGTAGAACACGTGATAGCGTTATTTCTAGAAGTTTTGCACTCTAGTCATTGAGTGGAATTGTTGATGTGGTGGAATGAGAAAAATCATGAAAAGAAGAATGATTCTTTTCACTTTTCATAAATTGATGGAAAGAAGAATTATTTCCCTCTGCCTGTAGCTCATTTTAGATTTTTAAGTTCTCTCAATTCATATGCCTATCATTCTTTCCTATACTTTTTTCTTCAGTATGGTGAAAATCAAATGAAATTTGGAGAAATTTGTAAATCTATCAGCAAGAAAGGTTTCAACTACATGCTAAGCTCAAGTGAAAATATAGAAACTTAGATATCCATAAAAACACATGATTGATAAATACCTTAATCATAGATCCACATATATTGTGTGGATTTGTGTGTATGTGTCTGCATCAGCCTCAATGACTCATTTAAAAAAAATCTCTTCCTGCAATTAAAAGTTATCACTTCCTATCCACTCTCATAAGAATATATTAAGAATTGAGAATTTGTTTGGAGATCTATAGTATTTGCAGCTAAGAGAAGTATTTAAGCCACATTTGGTGAAAGAGCTGTGTTTATGGAATTTTATTTTCAACATAACAAGAAATGTCCACATATTATTAATGAGGTAAAGTGGAGCTTCCCATCATAGTAAAGTATGAGCAATGAACAACAAATAAATTAAAATAAACAAATATGAAATTTTCTTTTGCAAATAAGTCTATAATATGTTTACCCAGGTTTTATTGAATTACTGTTAATACCTTTGCTGATTTTTTTACAAATTTATCCCGAGACTACCTAATGCTTTCAGATTTCAGAGGACACCAGAGTCATCTGTTGGTGGCAATGCCTGGCTGAATCAGTTGGCATCTTAGGTCTTCCTTGGTTTTCTCTGCTATCTATCTTTGATCAACACTTGCTGAATGTTAATTCTTATGATATACATACATACATACAAACGTGTATATATATATATATATATATATATATTATATATATATATATATATATATATATATATATATTATATAAAGAATCCTAATAATCATTATGAATACAAAGCAAAGGACATGAACTCAAAGTGTAATGTAAGAAAGAGCATAAAAAGAATGTTCAGTGTGAGCACCTTGGTTCTGCTAGTTGTATATTGAGGCCAGTATAAGTAATTAAGGCAGTTATCAACATATTTCTTTACATAGTATAATATACTTTATCTTAGAGTCTATTTATTTATGGCACTCAGATCATATTCAAAAAATCTTCTTGAGATATACATGCAGTATATATATACATATACATTAGTTGGTTTGACAATGCAAATCTTCAGTATACACATTTTGACCTAGGCTGTTGAACATTTGAACACTTTAATGCTTCTCTGAGACGGGGACAAATTGTCAGAATTTGGTTCTGTTCCATGACGGAGCTGTTTTTTGGTTGTTACCATAAGTGACTGAAAAAAAAGTAAGAATGACAATAATGCTAACTTTTGTTTAGTAATTGTGCAATAGAAAATATAGGTTCAGACTTTCTATTACTTTCTTTTTACCTCATATGTCTTGAGAAATAACCTCTTTATTAATCCTTACCTGAATGGCAGCACAAATTTAACACCAGCACCAATCTTAGCCTATGGAAAATATCATGTTAATTCCTCAAGTTTCATTTCAAACCAGTTACATGGGAAGATTTTTTTGTTTTGTTTTTTTTTGTAACTTATATCATAGAAAAAGAAAATCGTATTTCTATCATTATGAAACAACAGAAAAAGACATTATGGTAAATTCTCTCTTTTTAACTTATGACACATGTCTGCTACCTAAGAGTTTCCCATCTACAATTAAAAGAGTTCATCCCAAAGTGTGTGACATGAAGCAACTATATAAGTACTTGCATTGTAAAGTACTTGCCCCCCCTAACTTACAACATAAAAGTTGACTACAAATTTTACACAGCCATATATTGGCATTATCAAGAACATAAAAATATACACAGTAATAAACACTACCATTGTTTATCTACAGTCTATTAACATTTAACTGAGAGATGATAATATTTGGCAGATGTTAAGGTTTGTTGTACAAAAAATCAATAAAATTAAAGAAAATGAAAGAAAAAAAATGATATTTCACAGATGAGATTAAATTGACTGGTAATGAAATATCTCTTTCTATCAGTTTAGTCTTTTTTTCAAATGTTTTAGTCTTGTTTCTTGTCTACAAATTGAGACTAATTTAACCCAGGGGAAACTGCTGCTTATTTACAATGTCAAATCTAAACCCCAGGGGTTCAATGACAAAAGAGCAAAGGCTCGGAATAAGTGATCATATGAAAATGGACTCCTTTTTTTCTTTTTAGGTTTTTCTTCTTCTCTCTGTTTTGCACTTGCTAATAGCCTCTGGAGAAGCTATAGCTAAAACCATTGTTATCACCAGTACTGTTTTCTGCCAAAGTGTTATCACCAATGGCTACATAAGCAGCCGAGAATCCTTTAGTGTTGATTGTGTCATCTGTTCGGAATCTAACCAAGAGGGCATCATTGATAGACACAATCTCTTGGGGAATCTGCAAGTAAAGGATACATAATGTAGCAAAAAATATGTAGTTATCCAATACATATTTGTTCTTTTTCAGTATGACTAATGTCCACAGGTAATTAAACAGTTTGCACATGATCATATTTAGGGGAATATGAGACTGGGAAGAAGGAAAGGAGAGAGTTAAAGAGTTAGGTATTGAGTAATAACATCATCTTAACCCCATGATTCTCTATTACTGAATATACAGGAAATGCAAAGAAGTATTTCATGTGTAGAAGAATCTTTCTCTAATCATGTAACAGAGGCAAACTTACCGTATTGCCACAGAATTTCCCATATGAGGGTCCAGAGTCACTGTACCCCGAGAACACTTCTACATAGTCATATCCACAGTCATGCTCATCTTCAAGTTCAAAGGTGAGGAAAGTGAGATGAACACTTTCACCTTGTGCTGCCTGTATGATCCAGTCACAGTCCTCCTTGTTATCATAATTCTGGTCTCCATACTTCGCATGAGAATACATGTGCTTGACAGTGCTTGTAGCTTTAAGGCCACCACCACAAACTGTTGGGATATGCCATTATTTTAGTATAGTAATCTTCTTTGAATGGAGAACCTGCACTATATCCACTACAAACAGAAATTAAAGAAAAAAAAAATAGATTTACAAATCATTACACCATTTTTCTTCGTATATAGCATTTTATTCCATAGTAAAGCCTCACCTGTAGTGTGTCTTGCTCGGAAACCTCTGCGCTGAACAGATGAATCAGACTTGAACACCATGAACATTTGATTATTAAAAGCCACTATTGGATGTGGCACTTTTGCACCACAATAACGACCAAGGAATCCAGTC